CTATGGGTGTCCCCATGTCCCCCCATATATCTCAATGTCTCCCTATGGTTCCCCCCATGTCCCTCAATGTCCCCCCATATATCCCAATGTCTCCCTATGGTCTCCCCCGTATATCCCAATGTCTCCCTATGGTTCCCCCGATATATCCCAATGTCCCCCCATGGTCCCCCCCCTATATCCCAACATCTCTCTATGGTTCCCCCCATATATCCCCATGGTTCCCCCCATATCCCAACGTCTCTCTATGGTTCCCCCCCATATATCCCAATGTCTCCCTATGGTTCCCCCCATATATCCCAACGTCTCCCCATGGTTCCCCCCGTCTCTCTATGGTTCCCCCCATACATCCCAATGTCCCCCCATGGTTCCCCCCATATATCCCAACGTCTCCCCATGGTCCCCCCCCTATATCCCAATGTCCCCCCATGGTTCCCCCTATATCCCAATGTCTCCCCATGGTTCCCCCCATGTCCCCCCATATCCCAACGTCCCCCCATGTCCCCCCCGTTGCAGGCACGAAGCTGGACAGCTCCGGCGTGGCCTTCGCGGTGGTGGGCGCGTGCCAGGCCCTGGGGCTCCCCATGTCCCTCAATGTCTCCTTGTGGGTCCCTCAATGTCCCCCCATGTCCCCCCATATATCCCAATGTCCCCCCATGTTTCCCCCCATGTCTCCCCATGGTTCCCCCCATATATCCCAATGTCTCCCTATGTCCCCCCCCATATATCCCCATGTCTCCCTATGGTTCCCCCCATATATCCCAATGTCTCTCTATGGTCCCCCCCATATATCCCAATGTCTCCCTATGGTTCCCCCCATATATCCCAACGTCTCCCCATGGTCCCCCCCATATATCCCAATGTCTCCCTATGTCTCCCCATATATCCCAACGTCTCCCCATGGTTCCCCCCATATATCTGAATGTCTCCCTATGGTTCCCCCTATGTATCTCTATGTACCCCAATGTCTCCCTATGGTTCCCCCCATGTCCCCCTATGTCCCCCCATGTCTCCCTATGTCTTCCCCCATATATGTCCCCCCATGTTCCCCCCATATATCCCAATGTCTCCCTATGGTTCCCCCCATACATCCCAATGTCTCCCTATGTTTCCCCCCATATATCCCAATGTTTCCCTATGTCTCCCCATATATGTCTCCCCATGTCCCCCCTATGTCTCCCAATGTCCCCCTATGTTCCCCCATGTCCCCCTATGTCCCCCCATATATGTCTCCCTATGGTTCCCCCATGTCTCCCTATGTCCCCCTATGGTTCCCCCTATGTCTCCCTATGTCTCCCCCAATGTCTCCCAATGTCCCCCTATGTCTCCCCATGTCCCCCTATGTCTCTCCCTATGTCTCCCTATGGTTCCCCCTATGTCTCCCTATGTCCCCCTATGTCTCCCCCCATATATCCCAATGTCTCCCTATGGTCCCCCCCATATATCCCAATGTCTCCCATGGTTCCCCCAATGTCTCCCTATGGTTCCCCCCATGTTCCCCCCATGTCCCCCCATGTTTCCCCCCATATATCCCAATGTCTCTCTATGGTTCCCCCCATATATCCCAATGTCTCCCTATGGTTCCCCCCATATATCCCAATGTCTCCCTATGGTTCCCCCCATATATCCCAATGTCTCCCTATGGTCCCCCCCATATATCCCAATGTCCCCCCATGGTCCCCCCCATATCTCCCTATGTCTCTCTATGGTTCCCCCATATATCCCAATGTCTCCCCTATGTTCCACCCCCATATCCCAACGTCTCCCTATGGTTCCCCCCATATATCTCAATGTCTCCCTATGGTTCTCCCCATATATCCCAACGTCTCCCTATGTCCCCCCATATATCCCAATGTCTCTCTATGGTTCCCCCCATATATCCCAATGTCTCCCTATGGTTCCCCCCATATATCCCAATGTCTCCGTATGGTCCCCCCCATGTCCCCCCATGTCCCCCCCATATCCCAACGTCCCCCCATGTCCCCCCCGTATGCAGGCACCCTGGACAGCTCCGGCGTGGCCTTCGCGGTGGTGGCGCGTGCCAGGCCCTGGGGCTCCCCATGTCTCAATGTCTCCATGTCTCCCCAATGTCCCCCCATGTCCCCCCATATATCCCTATGTCCCCCCATGTCTCCCCCATGTCCCCCATGGTTCCCCCCATATATCCCAATGTCTCCCTATGGTCCCCCCCATATCTCCCAATGTCCCCCCATGGTTCCCCCCATATATCCCAATGTCCCCCCATGGTCCCCCCCCTATATCCCAACGTCTCTCTATGGTTCCCCCCATATATCCCCATGTCCCCCCTATATCCCAACGTCTCCCTATGGTTCCCCCCCTATATCCCAACGTCTCCCTATGGTTCCCCCCATACATCCCAATGTCTCCCTATGGTTCCCCCCATATATCCCAATGTCCCCCCCCATGTCCCCCCATATATCCCAATGTCCCCCCATGTTTCCCCCCATGTCCCCCCATGGTTCCCCCCATATATCCCAACGTCTCCCTATGGTTCCCCCCATATATCCCAATGTCCCCCCATGTCCCCCCCATATCCCAACGCGTCCCCGTGCCCCCCGTTGCAGGCACGAAGCTGGACAGCTCCGGCGTGGCCTTCGCGGTGGTGGGCGCGTGCCAGGCCCTGGGGCTCCCCGACGTCCACCTCGCGCTCTCCGAGGACCACGCGTGGGTCGCCTTCGGGGCCGGGGGGCTGCAGACGGCCGAGGTCACGTGGCACGGCAAGGGAAACGAGGACCGCAGGGGGCAGAGCGTGGCCGCGGGAGTGGCCGAGAGGGTCAGATGGGGGGCAGCCATGGGGCAGGGATGGGGCAATGGGGTAGGGATGGAGCCATGGGGCAGGAATGGAGCCATGGGGCAGGGATGGAGCCATGGGGCAGGGATGGGGCAATGGGGTAGGGATGAAGCCATGGGGTAGGAATGGAGCCATGGGGCAGGGATGGGGCTGTGGGGCAGGGATGGAGCCGTGGGGTAGGGATGGGGCCATGGGGAGGGGATGGAGCCATGGGGCACAGATGGGGCAATGGGGCAGGGATGGGGCCATGGGGCAGGGATGGGGAGAGAAGGGGCTGGGGGGGGAATGGGGCAGGGATGGGGCCATGGGGCAGGGATGGGGCCATGGGGCAGGGATGGGGTCATGGGGCAGGGATGGGGCCATGGGGCAGGGATGGAGCCGTGGGGTAGGGATGGAGCCGTGGGGCACAGATGGGGCAATGGGGCAGGGATGGGGCCATGGGGAGGGGATGGGGGGGGAAGATGAGGGGAGAAGGGAAGATGAGGGGAGAAGGGACCATGGAGGGGGGGATGGAGCCGTGGGGCAGGAATGGGGCAGTGGGGGAGGGATGGGGCCGTGGGGAGGGGATGGAGCCATGGGGCAGGGATGGGGCCGTGGGGCAGGGATGGGACCGTGGAGTAGGGGTTGGGGGGAGGATGGGGGGAGAAGGGGCTGTGGGGGGGATGGGGCCATGGGGCAGGGATGGGGCTGTGGGGCAGGGATGGGGTCATGGGGCAGGGATGGAGCCATGGGGCAGGGATGGGGTCATGGGGAGGGGATGGGGCAGTGGGGTAGGAATGGAGCCATGGGGCAGGGATGGGGGGAGAAGGGGCTGGGGGGGGAATGGGGCAGGGATGGAGCCGTGGGGCAGGAATGGAGCCATGGCGCAGGGATGGGGCCGTGGGGCAGGGATGGGGCAATGGGGCAGGGATGGGGTCATGGGGCAGGGATGGAGCCATGGGGCAGGGATGGGGTCATGGGGAGGGGATGGGGCAGTGGGGTAGGAATGGAGCCATGGGGCAGGGATGGGGGGAGAAGGGGCTGGGGGGGGAATGGGGCAGGGACAGGGCCATGGGGCAGGGATGGAGCCGTGGGGAGGGGATGGGGCCATGGGGCAGGGATGGGGGCAGAAGGGGCTGGGGGGGGGAATGGGGCAGGGATGGGGCCATGGGGCAGGGATGGGGCCATGGGGCAGGGATGGGGCCATGGGGTAGGGATGGGGGGGGAAGATGGGGGGAGAAGGGACCATGGAGGGGGGGATGGAGCCATGGGGCATGGATGGAGCCGTGGGGCAGGAATGGGGCAGTGGGGGAGGGATGGGGCCGTGGGGAGGGGATGGAGCCATGGGGCAGGGATGGGGCCGTGGGGTAGGGGTTGGGGGGAGGATGGGGGGAGAAGGGGCTGTGGGGGGGATGGGGCCATGGGGAGGGGATGGGGCCGGGGGGCAGGGATGGGGCCGTGGGGCAGGGATGGAGCCATGGGGCAGGGATGGGGCCGTGGGGCTCTGGGGCAACCCCAAGGACCCAGATTGGGGCTGTTGGGGACCCAGAGGGAGGGAGAGCCATGGGGGGCACAGAGAGGGGCCCATGGGGGGCACAGAGAGGGGCCCATGGGGGGCACAGGCCCATGCGTGCCCCCTGCCCCACACGTCCCCGTGCCCCCCCAGAGCTGGCTGTACCTGAAGGGCTCATACCTGCGCTGCACGCGGCACATGGAGGTGGCCTTCATGGTGTGCGCCATCAACCCCTCCATCGACCTGCACACGGACAGCCTGGAGCTGCTGCAGCTCCAGCAGGTGTGGGGCGGCCGTGGGGCAGCTGTGGGGCGGGTGTGGGGCGGGTGTGGTGTGGGTGTGGGGCAGCAGTGGGGTGTGTGTGGGGCAGCCGTGGGGCAGGTGTGGGTCAGCAGTGGGGCGGGTGTGGGGCAGGTGTGGGGCAGCAGTGGGGTGTGTGCGGGGCAGCCATGGGGCGGGTGTGGGGCAGCCATGGGGTGGGTGTGGGGGGTGTGGGGCAGCCATGGGGTGGGTGTGGGGCAGCCATGAGGCTGGTGTGTGGCACCCATGGGGCAGCAGTGGGGTGGGTGTGGGGCAGCCATGGGGCAGCAGTGGGGCGGGTGTAGGGCAGCAGTGGGGTGGGTGTGAGGTGTGTGTGGGGCAGCCATGGGGCAGCTGTGGGGTGGGTGTGGGGCAGCCATGTGGCAGGTGTGTGGCACCCATGAGGCAGCAGTGGGGTGGGTGTGGGGCAGCCATGGGGCGGGTGTGAGGTGGGTGTGGGGCAGCCGTGGGGCAGCTGTGGGGTGGGTGTGGGGTAGCCATGGGGCGGGTGTGTGGCACCCATGGGGCAGGTGTGGGGCAGCCGTGGGGCAGGTGTGGGACAGCAGTGGGGCGGGTGTGGGGCAGCCATAGGGCGGGTGTGGGGCAGCAGTGGGGCAGGTGTGGGGCAGCCATAGGGCAGCCCAGCATCACCGCCCTCTCCCCTTGCAGCGCCTGCTCTGGCTGCTCTATGACATGGGCCACCTGGAGAGGTGAGCAGGGCCCCGACCTCCTATGGGGCTGCCTCCCCCCACCTGCCATGGGGCTGCCCCCCAACCTCCCCCACAGGTACCCCATGGCTCTGGGCAACCTGGCTGACCTGGAGGAGCTGGAACCCACCCCGGGCAGGCCTGACCCCCTCACCATCTACCACAAGGTGAGGTGTGGGGCTGGGCGCTATGGGGCTGGGCGCTATGGGGCGCTGTGGGGCTGACCTCCACCCCTGCCCCATAGGGCATCTCCTCGGCGCGGACCTACTACAACAACGAGCACATCTACCCCTACATGTACCTGGCCGGGTACCACTGCCGCAACAAGAACGTCAAGGAGGCGCTGGAGGCCTGGGCCGACACCGCCACCGTCATCCAGGAGTGAGCGGGGGCTATGGGGCGCTATGGGGCGCTATGGGGCAGGGGCTCACCCCCCCCCAATCGGGGCTCTGGGGCGGCTGGGGGACTCCGTGTCCCGTTTCTGGATCTCCAACCCCTCTCCAAGGCATTGGGGTAGCTCCAGTCCTAGCGCTATGGGGCAGCCCTGTGACAGCATCCTTGCCCCATAACCTGGTCCCTTGCCCCATAACCGCATCCATGTCCTGTGATTGCATTCCTGCCCCATAAGGGCATCCCTGTCCCGTCATCTCGTTCTGCCCTATGACTGCATTCCTGCCCCATAACCGCATCCGTGCCCCATAACCCGGTCCTGCCCCATGACCCGGTCCTGCCCCATAACCGCATCAGTGCCCCATAACCTGGCCCTGCCCCATGACCCAGTCCTGCCCCCTAACTCCCTCCCCACCCCACAACCTGGCTCTGCCCCATGACCCGGTCCTGCCCCCTAACTCCCTCCCTGCCCCACATCCCGCTCTCTGCTCCATGACCCGGTCCTGCCCCATAACCACATCCATGGCCCATAACCTGGCCCTGCCCCATGACCCGGTCCTGCCCCATAACCGCATCCCAGCCCCACAACCTGGTCCTGCCCCACATCCCGCTCCCTGCCCCATGACCCGGTCCTGCCCCATAACCACATTCATGCCCCACAACCTGGCCCTGCCCCATGACCTGGTCCTGCCCCATAACCACATCCCTGCCCCATAACCTGGCCCTGCCCCATGACCCAGTCCTGCGCCCTAACTCCCCCCGTGCCCCACATCCCGCTCCCTGCCCCACATCCCGCTCCCTGCCCCATGACCCGGTCCTGCCCCCTAACTCCCTCCCTGCCCCACATCCTGCTCCCTGCCCCATGACCCGGTCCTGCCCCCTAACTCCCCCCGTGCCCCACATCCCGCTCCCTGCCCCACATCCCGCTCCCTGCCCCACAGCTACAACTACTGCCGGGAGGACGAGGAGATCTACAAGGAGTTCTTTGACGTGGCCAACGACGTCATCCCCAACCTGCTCAAGGAGGCGGCCAACGCCGAGCCCCCCGGCGAGGGGGACCCCGACGTGAGGGGGGGCCATGGGGGGGGGGGGGACCCGAGGTGAGGGGGTGGCCCATAGGGAGGGGGGGGGGGCACTTTTGGGGTTGCCCATTGGCAGTGGTGCCCGATGGATGCACCCCCACGCACCCCAATGCACCCCCATGTACCCCAATGTAGCCCCATATACACCAATGCACCCCAATGCACCCCCATGTACCCCAATGTGCCCCCATGCACCCCAATGCACCCCCATGTACCCCAATGTGCCCCCATGTACCCCAATGCACCCCCATGTACCCCAATGTGCCCCCATGCACCCCAATGCACCCCCATGTACCCCATGTGCCCCCATACCCCATTGCACCCCCACCCCATGTACCCCAATGTCCATTACCCCAATGCACCCCCATTGGCCCCGCCCCATCCATTGACCGCGCACCCATCCATTGACCCCACCCATCTTTTGACCCCCCCATCCATTGACCCCACCCACTCATTGGCCCCACCCATCCATTGACCCCACCCCATCCATTGACCCCACCCCATCCATTGACCCCACCCCTTCCATTGACCCCGCCCCATCCATTGACCCCGCCCCATCCATTGACCCCACCCCATCCATTGACCCCACCCCATCCATTGACCCCACCCCATCCATTGACCCCACCCATCCATTGACCCCACCCATCCATTGACACCGCCCCATCCATTGACCCCACCCATCCATTGACCCCACCCCATCCATTGACCCCACCCCATCCATTGCACCCACCCCTCATTGACCCCACCCACTCATTGGCCCCACCCATCCATTGACCCCACCCCATCCATTGACCCCACCCCATCCATTGACCCCACCCCACTCATTGACCCCACCCCATCCATTCACCCCACCCCCCTCATTGACCCCACCCCATCCATTGACCCCACCCCATCCATTCACCCCACCCCCCTCATTGACCCCACCCCAATCATTGACCCCACCCCATCCATTGACCCCGCCCCATCCATTGACCCCGCCCCATCCATTGACCCCGCCCCATCCATTGACCCCGCCCCTCTCATTGACCCCACCCCATCCATTCACCCCACCCCATCCATTGACCCCACCCCATCCATTGACCCCACCCCACTCATTGACCCCACCCCAACCATTGACCCCACCCCATCCATTGACCCCACCCCATCCATTGACCCCACCCCATCCATTGACCCCACCCCATCCATTGACCCCACCCCGTTCATTGACCCCGCCCCCTCCCCTCCCCAGGCCCCTCCCACCGCGGCGGGGGCGGGGCCGGTGTCCGCCCTGCAGGACCCCGAGTGCTTCGCGCATCTCCTGCGCTTCTACGACGGGATCTGCAAGTGGGAGGAGGGGAGCCCCACGCCCGTGCTGCACGTGGGCTGGGCCACGTTCCTCGTGCAGTCCCTGGGCCGCTTCGACGGGCAGGTGGGGGGGGGCTGGGGGGCACGGGATGGGGTTTGGGGGGGTCCTGAAGGGGTTTTGGGGTCCTGAAATGGTTTTTGGGGTCCTGAAGGGGTTTTTTGGGGGTCCTGAAGGGGTTTTTGGGGGGGTTTGGTGCGGTTTGGGGGGCCCTGGGGGATATTGGGGCGCTGGGCACCCCCCGCGCTGTCACACATGGGCTGGGCCACGTTCCTCGTGCAGTCCCTGGGCCGCTTCGACGGGCAGGTGGGGGGGGGCTGGGGGCACGGGAGGGGGTTGGGGGGGTCCTGGGGGGGGATTTTTGGGGGTCCTGAGGGGGGTTTTGGGATTTTGAAGGGGTTTTGGGGGTCCTGAAGGGGTTTTTGGAGGGGGTTGGTGTAGTTTGGGGGTCCCTGGGGGGTGTTGGGGGCGCTGGGCACCCCCCGCGCTGTCACACGTGGGCTGGGCCACGTTCCTCGTGCAGTCCCTGGGCCGCTTCGACGGGCAGGTGGGGGGGGGCTGGGGGGCACGGGATGGGGTTTGGGGGGGTCCTGAAGGGGTTTTGGGGTCCTGAAATGGTTTTTGGGGTCCTGAAGGGGTTTTTTGGGGGTCCTGAAGGGGTTTTTGGAGGGGGTTGGTGTAGTTTGGGGGTCCCTGGGTGATATTGGGGCGCTGGGCACCCCCCCGTGCTGTCACACATGGGCTGGGCCACGTTCCTCGTGCAGTCCCTGGGCCGCTTCGACGGGCAGGTGGGGGGGGCTGGGGGGCACGGGATGGGGTTTGGGGGGGTCCTGGCGGGGATTTTGGGGGTTCTGAAGGGGTTTTGGGGGTCCTGAAATGGTTTTTGGGGTCCTGAAGGGTTTTTCTGGGGGGGGTTTGTGCGGTTTGGGGGTCCCGGGGGGGGGGTTTGGGGCGCTGGGCACCCCCCGCGCTGTCACACATGGGCTGGGCCATGTTCCTTGTGTAGTCACTGGGGTGCTTTGATGGGGGGGGCACAGGATGGGGAGCATGGAATGGGTTTGGGGGGGGTCCTAAGGGGGAGGTTGGGGTCCTGAAGGGGTTTTGGGGGTGCTAAAGGGGGTTTGGGGGTCTTTGGGGAGAGTTGGTGAGGTTTGGGGGTTCCTGGGGGATATTGGGGCGCTGGGCACCCCCCGCGCTGTCACACATGGGCTGGGCCACGTTCCTCGTGCAGTCCCTGGGCCGCTTCGACGGGCAGGTGGGGGGGGGCTGGGGGGCACGGGAGGGGTTTGTGGGGTCCTGAAGGGGTTTTGGGGTCCTGAAGGGGTTTTTGGGGTCCTGAAATGGTTTTGGGGGTCCTGAAGGTTTTGTTTTGGGGGGGGTGGTGAGGTTTGGGGGTCCCTGGGGGATATTGGGGCGCTGGGCACCCCCCGCGCTGTCACACATGGGCTGGGCCACGTTCCTCGTGCAGTCCCTGGGCCGCTTCGACGGGCAGGTGGGGGGGGGCTGGGGGGCACGGGATGGGGTTTGGGGGTGTCCTGAAGGGGTTTTGGGGGTCCTGAAATGGTTTTTGGGGTCCTGAAGGGGTTTTTTGGGGGTCCTGAAGGGGTTTTGGCGGGGGTTGGTGTGGTTTGGGGGTCCCTGGGGGGTGTTGGGGGTGCTGGGCACCCCCCGCTCTGTCACACATGGGCTGGGCCACGTTCCTCGTGCAGTCCCTGGGCCGCTTCGACGGGCAGGTGGGGGGGGCTGGGGGGCACGGGAGGGGTTTGGGGGGGTGCGGGGGGGGGTTGGGGTCCTGAAGGGGTTTTTGGGGGGTCCTGAAATGGTTTTTGGGGTCCTGAATGGGTTTTGGAGGGGGTTGGTGTAGTTTGGGGGTCCCTGGGGGATATTGGGGCGCTGGGCACCCCCCCGTGCTGTCACACATGGGCTGGGCCACGTTCCTTGCAGTCCCTGGGCCGCTTCGACGGGCAGGTGGGGGGCTGGGGGCACGGGATGGGGTTTGGGGGGGTCCTGAGGGGGTTTTTGGGGTCCTGAAATGGTTTTTGGTGTCCTGAAGGGGTTTTGGGGGGGGGTTGGTGTAGTTTGGGGGTCCCTGGGGGATATTGGGGCGCTGGGCACCCCCCGCGCTGTCACACATGGGCTGGACCAGGTTCCTCGTGCAGTCCCTGGGCCGCTTCGACGGGCAGGTGGGGGGGGGGCTGGGGGGCACGGGAGGGGGTTGGGGGTGTCCTGAGGGGGGTTTTGGGGTCCTGAGGGGGTCCTGAAGGGGTTTTGGGGGTCCTGAAATGGTTTTTGGGGTCCTGAAGGGGTTTTTTGGGGGTCGTGAAATGGTTTTTGAGGTCCTGAAGGGGTTTTTTGGGGGGGTTGGTGCGGTTTGGGGGTCACTGGGGGATATTGGGGCGCTGGGCACCCCCCGCGCTGTCACACATGGGCTGGACCACGTTCCTCGTGCAGTCCCTGGGCCGCTTCGACGGGCAGGTGGGGGGGGGCTGGGGGGCACGGGATGGGGTTTGGGGGGGTCCTGATGGGGTTTTGGGGTCCTGAGGGGGTTTTTGGGGTCCTGAAGGGTTTTTTGGGGGGTCCTGAAGGGTTTTTTGGGGGGGTTGGTGCTGTTTGGGGGTCCCTGGGGGATATTGGGGCGCTGGGCACCCCCCGCGCTGTCACACATGGGCTGGGCCACGTTCCTCGTGCAGTCCCTGGGCCGCTTTGACGGGCAGGTGGGGGGGGCTGGGGGGCACGGGATGGGGTTTGGGGGGGTCCTGAGGGGGGTTTTGGGGTCCTGAGGGGGTCCTGAAGGGTTTTTTTTGGGTCCTGAAATGGTTTTTGGGGTCCTGGAGGTTTTTTTGGGGGGGGGTTGGTGCGGTTTGGGGGTCCCTGGGGGGTGTTTGGGGCGCTGGGCACCCCCCTGCGCTGTCACACATGGGCTGGACCACGTTCCTTGTGTAGTCACTGGGGTGCTTTGACGGGGGGGGCACAGGATGGGGAGCATGGAATGGGGTTGGGGGGGCTCCTAAGGGGGAGGTTGGGGTCCTAAAGAGGGTTTTGGGGGTCTTTGGGGAGAGTTGGTGCGGTTTGGGGGTCCCTGGGGGGTGTTGGGGGCACTGGGCACCCCCCTGCGCTGTCACACATGGGCTGGACCAGGTTCCTCGGGCAGCCCCCTTGGCTGCTTCCATGGGCAGGTGTGGGGGGGGGACACGGGGTGCACAGGGGGGGGTTTGGGGGGGTCCTGGAGGGGGCTTGGGGACCCCCGAGCTCTGCGTCCACCCCCTCCCTGGTGAGGTCTGGGGTGGTCTCTGAGTCCCCCAATGCCCCCCAGTGTCTTTAATCCCTCCCATAGTGTCCCTATTGCCCCCCCAGTGTCCCTATTGCCCCCATAGTGTTTCTATTGACCCCCGATATCCCTGTTGCCCCCCACAGTGTCCTTATTGCCTCTATAGTGTCCCTATTGCCCCCATAGTGTCCTTATTGCACCCCTAATGTCCCTTTTGCCCCCATAGTGTCCCTATTGTATCCCCAATGTCTCCATTGCCCCCATTGTGTCCCTATTGCCCCCGTAGTGTCCCTATTGCCCCCGTAGTGTCCCTATTGCCCCCGTAGTGTCCCTATTGCCCCCATAGTATCTTTATTGCCCCCATAGTGTCCCTATTGCCCCTGTAGTGTCCCTATTGCCCCCATAGTATCTTTATTGCCCCCATAGTGTCCCTATTGCCCCCATTGTGTCCTTATTGCCCCCCCAATGTTCCTATTGCCCCCATAGTGTACCTATTGCCCCTGTAGTGTCCCTATTGCCCCCCCAATGTCTACATTGCCCCCATTGTATCCCTATTGCCCCCATAGAGTCCCTATTGCCCGCATAGTGTCCTTATTGCCCCCGTAGTGTCCCTATTGCCCCCATAGTGTCCCTATTGTACCCCCAATGTCTCCATTGCCCCCATAGTGTCCCTATTGCCCCTGTAGTGTCCTTATTGCACCCCCAATGTCTCCATTGCCCCCATATTGTCCCTATTGTACCCCCAATGTCTCCATTGCCCCCATAGTGTCCTTATTGCACCTCAATGTCCCTACTGTCCCCATAGTGTCCTTATTGCACCCCCAATGTCCCTATTGCCCCCATCGTGTCCTTATTGCCCCCCCAATGTCCCTATTGCCCCCGTAGTGTCCCTATTGCACCCCAATGTCCCTATTGCCCCCCCAATGTCCTTATTGCCCCCCCAATGTCCCTGTTGCACCCCAATGTCCCTATTGCCCCCCAATGTCCTTATTGCCCCCCCAATGTCCCTATTGCCCCCCCAATGTCCCTATTGCCCCCATCGAGCCTCCATTGCCCCCCCGCGTTGCCCCCAGGTCCGCCAGCGGGTGACGCTGGTGTCGCGGGACGCGGAACCCCCCGAGGACGAGGACCCGGGCGGGGACGAGACCCGCGACAGCCGCCGGCGGGGTCCCCGCCGCGAGTCCAAACCGGAGGAGCCGCCGCAGCCCAAGAAGGGCCCGGAGCGGCGGCGGGCGCTAGGACCCCGCAGCGAGGACCCGGCCAGCGCTGTTCCCACCGCCGCCGCCGCCGCCGTTCCCCCTGCGGGTCCGAACGTCGCGGGTTCGAGTCCCGCTTCCTCCAGCTCCGGTACACCGGGACCGGGATCGGTGGAACCGGCGGGGCCGGTGCTGCTGTTCCAGAGCCAGAAGATGCGCGGGATGAAGGATCTGCTGAGGGCGCCCAAGATCAATTCCAGCGCCATCAAACTGCAGCTCACGGCGCAGTCCCAGGTCCAGCTCAAGAAGCAGAAAGTGGCCCCCAGCGACTACACCTTGGCCTTCCTCAAGCGGCCCCGAAAGGGGCTCTGAGACCACCGAGTGTCCCCCCCCCCCCCCCGAGTTATGGGGGGGAAATGGGGAGGGGAGGGGGGGGGAGGGGGAGGGGGGGAAATGGGGAAGGGAGGGGGTAAATGGGGAGGGGAGGGGGGGAAATGAGGAGGGGAGGGGGTAAATGGGGAGGGTAGGGGGTAAATGGGGAGGGGAGGGGGGAATGGGGAGGGGAAGGGGGGAAATGGGGAGGGGAGGGGGGAATGGGGATCCTATGGAGGGGTAGAGAGAGGTTTGGGGTGAAATGTACCCCGTGCACCCCAATATACCACCCTATACCCCAATGCACCCCATATACCCCAGTATACCATCATATACCCCCGTGCACCCCAATATACCACCCTATACCCCAATGCACCCCATATACCCCAGTATACCATCATGTACCTCCATATACCCCCATGCACCCCAATATACCACCCTATACCCCAATGCACCCCATATACCCCAGTATACCATCATATACCTCCATATACCCCCGTGCACCCCAATATACCACCCTATACCCCAATGCACCCCATATA